AGTGGTCTAGATCAGACCCGCTAGCTTCTTGGACGGCCCTAGTCAAAGCCCCAAAGGGTGAGATGTTCGTCGGCGAGGTGGTCATTGGCGGCCATAAGGCCGGGGCCTATTATGACACTTGCTCGACTAGGAACTTTATCAGTCGCACGTGTGTTGAGAGGCTGCGCTTACAGGGGCGAATGCAACGCCTAAGTCGATCTGCGGAGTCGACCTGTGCCAACAAACAGCGCATGGTAGTCAATGACTACCTCCAAGGTGTGGAGTGTTGTTTCCCGTACGCGGGAGGGGAATTGAGACATCGTGTCTCGTTCCTAGTGAGCGATGAACTCCCCATGGACATGTTGTTGGGTATGTACTACCTCTCTGTGGCACAACCCCAGTTTGACTGGGACCGAAAAGTGGTCAAACACACTTTGCCAGGTGGAGGGACCGCCAGATTGCACAAGTTCAAAGCTAGTAGTCTGATCGAGTCCCATGGATGCATGTGTGTGACCGTGTTCTATAACTATTATAAGCAAAATCAGGAGGAGGGTATGTACCTGGTTTATGTCTCTGCTGCAGACGAGCCGGTGAAAATGCCGCCGGAGATAGAGGGAGTAGTTGCCAAATACCCTGATCTATTTGAAGAGCCGACAGGGGTTGTAGAGAGGGAGGTCGTCCATGCGATAAAGATTATCCCAGGGTCTAGCATCCCCAAGGGTAGGATCTATCGGATGTCTCCAGGCGAGCTCGATGAGCTTCGCCGACAACTCAAGGAACTCGTAGAGAAGGTTGGATCCGACCGAATGTCTCTCCTTATGGGTCTCCAGTACTAGTCGTACCTCCGAAGAAGGAGGGAACACTTAGGATGTGCATTGAGCATAGGGACCTCAATGCCATCACTGTAAAGAACAGAGAGCCCCTACCGCGCATCGATGATTTGCTAGATAGAGTGCAAGGGTGTCAGTACTTCAGTAAGATAGATCTGAAGTCCGGGTACCATCACATTGCAATCCGTCCCAAGGATCAACATAAAACCGCTTTTCAGACCAGGTACGGTCTGTACGAGTTTGTGGTGATGCCTTTCGGCCTTTGCAATGCTCCTGGCACCTTTCAGCACGCTATGAATCGGATATTCCTTGACTGCTTGGATAAGTTTGTCATCATGTACCTCGATGACATACTTATTTTTAGTAAGACTGTCGAGGAGCACGTCGCACATCTGGACAAAGTCCTCAGTCTCCTGCGACAACACAAGTTCAAGATCAACGGTGAGAAGTGCGAGTTTGGCTGCACCCGTGTCTTGTACTTGGGTCATGAGATTTCCGGGGAAGGGTTGAAGCCCGATGACGCGAAGGTGGCCAGCATTCGTGACTGGCCGCGTCCTCAGTCTGTGACTGAGATGAGATCTTTCTTAGGGATGACCGGCTACTATCGCAATTTTGTGAAAAACTATAGCATAGTTGCCGCCCCTTTGACTGATCTGACCCACCTTGACACCCCATGGGAGTGGACTGGGAAATGCGAGGCTGCTTTCAGACATCTGAAGCATGCGTTGACGCATTACGAAGTCTTGAAATTTCTTG